TTATTTTGATATATCACAGTGAAAGATTTATCGTCCTCTTTTTTTTTTTTTTTTTTTTTAAAAAAAAAAAAAAAAAAAAAAAAAAAAAAAAAGAAAAAAGAAAAAAAAAAGAAAAAGTAATGTTCCAGTCACACACCTTTGATCTCAGCATTTGGGAGGCAGAGGCAGGCAGATCTCTGTTATTGAGGCCAGCCTGGTCTACAATGCAAGTTCCAGGCCAAAAAAAAAAAAGAGAGAGAGAAAGCAAAAACAACAAAAAAGAAACAACAAAAAGAAATGAGGTGTAATCCATTAAAAAACACACACACACACAATAAAACATACTGCTTGGGTACTCAGTTATTTCTGTTAGACATCTCTTGTTTAAAAAAGCTATCAAGGACTGACAAGATGGCTCAGAGGGTAAAGGTACTTACTGCCAAGCATAGCAGCCTAAGTCTAATTCCTAGAACCCACATGATAGAAGAATCAACTCTTGTTAAGTTGTGGCCTTACCCACACACATGCACCATGGCATGTGTAGCCCACACACATATACATACACACAATTTTTTTCAGTAAGATTTTGTCTTTACACTTACCATGCATTATAATGTCTAGGATTTACTCTGATAGCATTTCGAAAACATGCTAATGCTTTGTCTAGTTCTTCAGTTAACACAAACTCATGTCCTAATAGAGTATAGGCATAAGCATAATTTGGATCAACCTGGATAGCTCTCTGGAAGAATTTAATTGCAATATCATGTTCCCGTTGTAGACTGAAACAATTCCCCGCAGCACACCAGGCCTGATAAGACAGAAACAAAAATATAAATATGTAATAAAAATGTTATTTTTTCCTGTCTTTATAAAAACTTTGTTCTAAGTAGAAATTTAAGTTTTTTTTTTTTTTGGTCTTTTTGAGAAAGGGTCTCCCTGTAGCCCCAGCTGTCCTGGAACTTACTATGTAGACCAGGGTGGCCTCGAACTCACAGAGATCTGCCTGCCTCTGCCTCCCGAGAACGGCATGTGCCACCATACCCGGCTGAAATTTAAGTTTTAATATGTCTTTTGTATCGGTGTATTTAATTTTGACCTAAAGAATGTATATTTAGGTGTGTGAATGTTGGTCCTCATTTTCCACCTTGAGATGGGAACTCTTGTTTTTCTTTTTAAAAATGTTTTGCTATGCTGGGCATGGTAGCGCACACCTTTAATCCCAGCACTTGGGAGGCAGAAGCAGGCGGATCTCTGTGAGTTTGAGGCCAGCCTGGTCTATATAGTGAGTTCCAGGATAGCTGGGGCTACAAAGAGACCCTGTCTCAAAAAAGACAAAAAAAAAAAAAATGTTTTGCCTGCATGTATGTTAGTGTACCTGCACCTTGCAATGCCTGCAGAGCCCAGAAGAGGGTGTCAGATCCACTAAAACTCAAGTTTTATATGGTTGTTAGCAGATACATAGGTGCTGGGACTAAAACAGTGTCCTTTGAAAGAGCCAGTGCTCTTAACCACTGAACCATTTTTTGAGACTCCTTCTCTGTTGTGTTTCTGCTGCGTATATGCCAGGTTGGCTAGCTGCAAGCTTTTGGGGTTTATTCTGTCTCTGTATCTCATGAGACTGGGATTGTAGACGCTCTTGCTATGCCTTGATGTTTATATGGGTTCTGCAGGCTCATGTCCTCATTCTTGCATCACAAGTACTTTTATCCACTGAGCCATCGCTCCAGCCAAAATTTTATTTCTTCTAAGAAAACCAACTCTTTATGACTAAACTCAGGTCTCAAATTCTACTTAGAACAGAAAGATAAAAACAAAAGAGTTTTGCTAAACATCTCATCCTCATTATTTATGGCTTACCTATGTGCAAGTTTACTTAGTTAAAATTCATCTGTAAATCCAAAATTAATACTCACAGCACTTTTGTGGCTATTTGTAGACTCAATATTTAACTTGCCCAATAGCAACATTCTCAGTTGAAGCCAAACTAGACAACTTCCAGTTCTCATAGAGATGAGTAGAGGGCAGACTGTGGGCACAGTTCAGTGCAATGCAGGAAGCAGAGGCTCTGAGGTCAGACACATCAAAGTCTGAATTTCACTGCTGGTACCTACTATTAGGTCCACCTAGGGCAAATATCTTTTTTTTTTTTTTTGTTGTGTGGGAGACGGGGTCCCCTTGTAGCCCCTGCTTTCGTGGAACCTCATTATGTAGACTAGGCTGGGTTTAACCTCACAGAGCCCCCCCTGCCTCTGCCTCCCAAGTGCTGGGACTAAAGGCGTGCACTACCATGCCTGGCTTTAAATTTATTATTTTTATTTTAGGTGTATGAGTGTATTGCCTGCATGTATGTGAGTGCACCCATGTCATACAATGCCGTGGAGGTCAGAAAAGGGCTTCGGATTCCCCTGGAACTGGAGTTAAGGATGGTTTGTAGCTGCCATGTGGGTGCTGGGAATCCAACCTGGGTCCTCTGCAAGAGCAGTCAGTGCTCTTTACCGCTGAGCCATCTCTAGCCCTCAACTCTTCTTTTTCTTCATGTGTGTGTATGTGTGTGGGCACACCTATGCCATAGCCATGAGTAGAGGTCAGAGGACAATTTGTAGGAGTTAGTTCTCTCCTTCTAGTATGTGGGTCTCAGGAATTGAACTCAGGTCGTCAGGTTTGGTGGCAAGTGCCTTTACTTGCTCAGCTATCTCACTGGCTCTATTTCTTTCTTTCTTTTTTTTTTTTTTAAGATTTATTACTAATATTATTTTAAAATTATGTGTTTGTGTATGGGTTTGTGCACATGCATGTGGTGCCCATTGAGGCCAGAGAGGGCATTGCATCCCCTGGAGCTGGAGTTACAGGAGGGGTTGAGTCTCTGCTTGGGTGCTGAAAAATAAACACCTGTCCTCTGCAAGAGCAGCATGAGTTCTTAACCACTGGGCCATCTCTCCAGCTCTGGTTTTTTTTTTTTTTTTCTTTGAAGGCTGGGTGTGATGACACACGCTTTTAATCTCAACACTCAGGAGGCAGAGGCAGATGAATCTCTGTGAGATGGAGGCCAGCTAGGACTACATAGTGAGTTCTAGGCCAGCTGGGGCTACAGGGAGACCCTGTCTCAAAAAGATGAACTCCTAATCTTCCTGCCTTTCCCTCCCAAGTACTGGGATTACAGGTTTGTGCCATCACATTTGGAAAAATAAATAAATAGAATCAGCCAGAATCAACAAATAGACGGGAACAAAAAAGAAACTCCCATGCCGAAGTATAGTGAAAAAATGCTAAACACACAGGAAAAGTAACATGTATTGAAAACTGCAAGAGGGAAGCACCAAGTCATGTAGAGAGGAAGACCCATCAGGATAACAGCCGACTTTGCAACAGAAAATTCAAAAGCCAGAAATACATGGACTGACCAATATATTTCAAGTTCTGAAGGACCACAGCTACCAGCCCAGAATACTATACTTAGCAAAACTATCTGTCATAATTGATGGAGAAAGAAGACCATTCCACCATAAAAGCAGGATAAAGAAATTTATATGTTTTATTTTGTATTTTTTTTTTTTTTTTTTTTTTTTTGGTCTTTTTGTGACAGGGTCTCCCTCTAGACCCTGGAACTCACGGGACTGAAGGCGTATACCACCATGCCTGGCCAGAATCAATTTTTAAGATTTAAACTTATGTTTATGTCATACTGTTTCCCTAAGAGCAATAGTTCAGTATTACTGATTTAGTGCTCAAATAAACTACAGAATTACTGTGAGTAGTGAGAACTGGTTTTCTTTTCTTTTTTTAGGTAGGGTCTCCCTGTAGCCCCAGCTGGCCTGTAACTCGTTGTGTAGACCAGGCTGGCCTTGAACTCACCAAGATCCTCTGCCTCCCAGCTTTCACCTGGAACAGAGATCTCCAAGGCATGCGCCACCATGCCCGGAGAACTAGTTTTCTATAATCCCAAATCTACATACACTATATAAAATATTACTAAAGCCAGGACTGAGGATGGTACACGCCTGTAATTCCAGGTACTGTGAGACGCAAGTGGGAGGATAAGTTTAAGATCAGCCTAGGCAGCATTGCAAGGTCCTGTCTCAGACAAAAGAACCAAACAAACAAACCAAAAAACCAATGTACTAAATATGCTTGCAATGTCCTGAAATATAATTATTACAAGATTAGAACATGTGAATTAATTGTACTTATGTCTTTTTAAAAAAAATATTTTATTTATTTTTATTTTGAGTGTTTTTAAAAAAATATTTCATTTATTATTTTTATGTTATGCGTTATGTGTGTATTGCCTGCGTGTAGGTAAGTGCACCTATGTCATGCAATGCTCATGGAGGATGGAAGAGGCTGTTGGATTCCCTGGAACTGGAGTTACGGACAGTTGTTAGCTGCCATGTGGGTGCTGGGATTCGAACCTGGGTCTTCTGCAAGAACAACCAGTGTTCTTAACTGCTGAGCCATCTCTCCAGCCCCGGGTCTGAGTGTTATGCCTGCATGTATGTAAGTGACCACTGTCCTGCAATGCCTGCAGAAGTCAAAGAAGGTGTTGGATTCCCCTGGAATGGGAGATACAGATGGTTGTTAGCCACCATGTGGGTGCTGGGACTCGAACCAGAGTCCTCTGTAAGAGCAGACAGTGCTCTTAACCACTAAGCCATCTCTCCAGCTCCTTTATTTATTTATTTATTTATTTATTATTTATTAATTAATTAATTTATTCATTTATTCATTCATTCATTCATTCATTCATTCATTCATTTGCTTTTTGGTCTTTTCTTGAGACAGTCTCATGTAGTTCAGGGTTAGCCTCAAACTCACTATGTAGCGAAGGATAACTCTGAACTCTTGATCCTCTCATGTGTTTACATTATAGGTATGTATGCCCGGCTTACTATGCATAGCTTCTAATCTTGCTAACAGTAACTATAATAGTCAAAAAAAATTTTTTTTTTTTGGTCTTTTTTTGAGACAGGGTCTCCCTGTAGTCCCAGCTGGCCTGTACCTCTCAGAGATCCATCTGCCTCTGCCTCCCAAGTGCTTGGACTAAAGGCATGTACCAGCACACCTGGCTTAATAGTCAAATTTTAATCTAGGCCTGGCAAGGCACTCCTATAATCCCAGCACATGAAGATAGAAAACCTAAAATTCAAGGTTATCCTCAGCTACACAGTGAATTTAAGGCCAGCCTGAACTACATGAGACCCTGTCTTAACAATAAAATTTTTTTTTGGTCTTTCTGAGACAGGTCTCCCTGTAGCCCCAGCTGTCCTGGAACTCACTATGTAGACCAGGCTGTCCTTGAACTCACAGAGATCCACCTGCCTCTGCCTCCCAAGTGCTGGGATTAAAGGCATGAGCCACCAATACTGAAAAAGTCATCTGATTTTTGAGATTTCCATTTGTGAACCTGTACCATATATGTAGGTCTTTCGTCTTTCTCTTCTTCATGAATGTGGGTAATAGTGCTTCAATACTCATCATATTTTGATCCATGACAGACCCCACACAAAACAATTGTTCTGTAAGATTATATCATCTAATGATGTTGTGGCTTAGTTTGTGTAATTACACTTTATGATGTTTTGCACAATGAAAAAATTACCTAATAACGCATATTTCAGAACTTATCCTTGTCATTAATTGATGTATGACAAGGTGTGATTCATCTCCATTTGTTCAGGATGATCGAAAGCTAACTATGTTGGGGTTGAGGATGTAGGTAAGTGCTAAAAATACATGCCTAAAATGCTTGAAGGAGTTCTACCCCCAGCACTGCACCTAAATAAATAAATAAGAGTAAATAAAATAACTACGTAATCAAATTGTTACCATACCTCTGGTGAATTTTTATCCATGTCTGTTAAATCTTTTGAAAGAACTGAAAGAGCAACATCTTTTTGAAGATGCCAAAGTGTTGTAGAGTAGATCTCCATACCTTCAACTCTATAGTTCTCAATCCTTCTAACTTCTGAGAATATTCGTTCAGCCTGAAATAAAAAAACTAGTAAGGGAAAACAAGCTGATACAATTTAAATACACACTGAGACATTACTGTTCACTTTCTTCACAGGACTGAAATGCTGCATGGCTTTTATGTGATTCAGTAAGAACACAAGGACAGAAGAGCAAATCTGCTGTGGTAGGTCAAATACTGATGAAATTCTATTTACATTAGCCTAGTTTTTGTGCATATGCTGTTGTTGAAGAAATGAACCCTGAAAAAAGTTTTTTTCTATCAAAAAGATAAAGATACAAGTCCAGCACTCCAGAGGTAGAGGCAGGTGGATAGCTGTGAGATCAAGGCCTGTCGTGGCTACAAGGGAGACCCTGTCTCAAAAATAAATAATAGAGACATCTTTCTAAAAGATAAGATGGCTAGCAACCCTACGGATGTGGAATGGTGAACGTCTCTCTCAGCACTACATCTGCTGGAATTATAGCACATCCTGCCTGTCCTTTCCTTTATGGAGTCTCTCCTAAGCTGTCAGGTCACACAGTTCTTCCTCAGAATATTCATAGCTTCCAGATCTGTGTTTCTTTCCCCACAAAGTTTTGTTTTATAAACTTTAGGTTTAGTTTCCTAGTTTATCAATTAGGAATTTCAAAATTCTCAAAGTTTAGTTCAGAATAAGGAACATTTATTTGGACTGTCTTTAATGAAATGAAGATGACAGAAAATAAGGACATTTATTTATTTTCAAGATATTTATCTACTTATTTACTTTTAATTATGCTTATGTGTGTCTGTGTTTGTGTTGTGGGTCATGTCAATGCATGTCAATGCAGGTACCACAGAAGACAGAGGCATTGGGTTTTCCAGCTCGAGTTACAGGCAGTTGTGAGCCCCATGATAGGGGTACCTGGAAGCAAACGTGGATCTTCTGCAAGAGTAGTACACACTCTTAACCAGAGTTACCACTCTAGTTCTTACTTAAAACTTTTTAAAAATTCATTTTTATTTTGTGTTTAAGTGTTTTGACTACATGCATCTAAGAGCAGCACCCATGTATACAATGTCCACAGAAGCTAGATGAGAGAAACGGATTCCCCAGGAACAGGTGCTATAGATGGTTGTTAGCCATCATGTAGATGCTGGGAACTGAACCTAGTCCTCTGCAAGAGCAGCCAATGCTCTTAACTGCTGGAGTCATCTCTCCCTATTTTTCAAAGATTTATTATTTTATTTTATTTATGTATATGTGTGTGTATATGCCACATGAGTCCTGGTGTCTTCAGAAGACAGAAATGCCATATTCTCCTAGATCTGGAGTTCTAGACAGCTGTCAGTCACCTGACATAGGTGCTGGGAGCTGAACTCAAGTCCTCTGGAAAAACAGCAAGTACTGTTAACCATGAGCCATTCCTCCAGCCCAAAGATTCATTTTTATTTCTGTGTATGTCACGTGCATGAGCATGCGTGTGTTCGTGCGTGCGTGCGTGTGTGTTTCCAACAGGCACTGGGTATAAGATGACAGACCTAACAACTGTTCAAAACCTTGCAGCTTCAAAGTTTTTGGAATTTATTGTCTCCATTGAAATTTTTTTAAATTGAAATTTTCATATAGTATAATTTGATGGCATCTAGAACCCTTCCCTTAGCCCACCTCTCCTTATTGCCCCTTGCCTTAAATTAGGCATTTCATTAAATTACGTAAAAAAAATATGTATGTGTGTGTGTATATACACACACACACACACACACACACACACATATATATATAAAATATGCACCTATAATTTGTCCCAAAGTGTCCTTCAGTATGGGTCTATCCACTGGAGTCCAGTTAACCCCAAAAGTGCTACTGGAAGGAGACTGTCTTCGCCCCTCCCAGCAGCTATCTATTCACACAGTTTCCTCAGGTAGGGTTGGAGCTTCTTACCCACTTGCTCATGTCTATGCTGGAATTTTTTTTCTAGTTTGAGTTTGCATGGGATTTATCCATGCTGAGTTCATAAGTAACTGACCAGCTCTCTGGAATACTCTGTTTCCTTGTGGTCATCCACCCCTTCTGGTTCTTAAAATCTTTCTGCCCTCTCTTCTGCAATGATCCCTGAGCCTTGGGGAGCAGATGTTTGATTTAGGTGTCCTATTTAGGGATAAGCATTTTGTAGCCTTTTGCTCTCTGCATGTTGTCCAGTTGCTATTGCCTACTTTGAAAAGTGATTATGAGGGGCTGGAGAGAAGTCAGTGGTTAAGAACACTGGCTGCTCTTGCGGAGGACCTGGGCTCAATTCCCAGCACCTGCATGATGGTTAATAACTGTCTGTAAATCCAGTTCCAGGGGATCTGATGCCTTCTTCTGGCCTCCTTGGGTACTGTACAACATGGGTGCACTTATACACATGCACACAATACACACATTGTGTAAAATAAATAGAATATTTTAATATATTTAATATTTTATTATTTTTATTTTATGTGTATGCATGTATTGCCTGCATGTAGTAAGTGCACCTGTGTCATGCAGTGCCTGTGGAGGACAGAAGAGGCAATCAGATCCCCTGGAACTGGAGTTCCGCACAGTCATTAGAGACAATGTCTCATATAGACAAATAAGTAGACAAAAACCTGTGATAAGAACACTGCGTCCTCAAAACTAATTTTCTTCATAGCAGTCTTCACATTTACAAGCCACAGTAAGGAGGCCAACCTCAGTACATAAATTCTGTATGTTGTAGAAAGAATTTATATTATAAATATGTATTATATGGTAAATATTTTTACATCCAACTGGGCAGAGTACAAGTGTTCAACACAAGATATACTGATGACTTTGTTCTTTATAAGTCTATTTCTTGTTTTAAAAAATATTTTTTATGGGGCTGGAGAGATGGTTCAGCAGTTAAGAGCACTGACTGCTACTGCAGAGGACCTGGGTTCGATTCTCAGCACCCACATGGCGGCTACTAACCGACCTTAACTCCAGTTCCAGGGAAATCTGAAGCCCTCTTCTGACCATGGCATTGCACGACATGGTGCACTCACAAACATGCAGGCAATACATTCATACACATAAAATAAAAATAATAAATATTTAAAAATATGTATTTTTATTATTTTTATGTATATGTGTGTATTGCCTGCATGTATGTGAGTGCACCTGTGTTGTGCAATGCCCTCAGAGGACAGAAGAGGTTGTTGGATCCCCTGGAACTAGAGTTACGGACAATTGTTAGCTGCCATATGGGTATTGGGATTCGAACCTAGGTCTTCTGCAAGAACAGCCAGTGTGCTTAATTGCTGAGCCATGCCATCTCTCCAACCCCTACAAATCTATTTCAAAGGGGCTGGAGAGATGGCTTAGTGGTTAAGAGCACTGGCTGCTCTTGCAGAAGACCCAGGCTTGAATCCCAGCACCCACATGGCAGCTAAAACCATCCATAACTCCAATTCCAGGGGACCCGATACTTTCTTCTGTCCTCTGCAGGTACTTCACAACATGGATGCACTTACACACATACAGGCATAACACTCATACACACAAAATTAAAAAAAAAATTTATTTATTATTTTTATTTTATGTTCATGAGTGTATTGCCTGCATGTATGTGAGTGCACCCATGTCGTGCAATGCCGCAGAGGTCAAAAGGGCTTTGGATTCCCCTGGAACTGGAGTGAAGGACAGTACATAGCTGCCATGTGGGTGCTGGGAATCAAATCAGGGTCCTCTGCAAGAACAGTCAGTGCTCTTAACTGCTGAGCCATCTCTCCAGCTCCCCCCAAATATAAAAAAAATTTTAAAAAGACTTAAGAAGTCTATTTCAAGAAAGCCTCTCAATGTAAATTACCCCTTAATGCAAGAAAGAATTTTATACATAAATTATATATACTGAGAAAATAATTACATAATACTGACTTTTCAAGATTTAGCCTTCTTAAGCATACATGTTTTAATTAAAGTGAAAATGATTCTAGAAAGGCATACGTAACTAATTTGTATACTTACTTGCATGTATTCTGAAAGTTCAAAATAAGCCCTTCCAATTTGGCACAGTACCCAACCAGTATTGTAGTGGTGAGAGGGCAGGTGGCTCAGAACATTTATAGCTTCTTTGCAGTTGTATGAACACAAAGCTAAATAACCTTTTCCCATGTCACGAAGAAGGCTCATCAAACCTTCTAGGAGAAAACAATATAGTAAACAAAGGAGAAAAACATGTAACTTTAGTTTTCTAGAAAGGCTAATCACAAATTACTCCATTAAAAATTCTAGGCACAGTAGCACATGCTTTTGATCCTGGCATGTGAGTTCAAGGCCAGCCTGGTCTACATAGCTATTTCTAGGCCAGCTGGGGCTACAGGGAGACCCTGTCTCAAAAAGACCGAAAAAAAAAAAAAAAGTATTATATGAAATGCACCAAAATTCAATAAAAATATACAAAAAAAATTCCAGTATCTGTCAGGCATGATTGTGTATGACTTTAATCCCAGCACTCTGGAGAAAGAGGCAGATGTATCTCTGTGACATGGAGGCTAGCCTGATCTAGTGAGTTCTAGGCCAGCTGGGGCTACAGGAAGACTCTGTTGCAAACAAAAACGTGAAAACGAACAAATCCCAATATTTAGGGCTGGCTAGCAGGCTCAGTGGGTAGAGACTCCTGCCACAGAGTATGACACAATGCCTGGGAACAACATGGTAGAGGAGAGAAATGATTCCTCCAGCTTGCCCTCTGACCTTCATATGACATGCTATGCAAGTGCATGTACACACACACACACACACACACACACACACACACACATATGCAATTTACAAAAAAAAATTCCAATATTTCTCTGAAAACAATGAAGGCAGTATAAGTAGCTTATTCTATAAGTGCATAATAAAAAAGTACAAGAACTACTGTAAGCATTTAAAACAGACCTGCTGCTGCTTTTTGTAGGTTAAATGCCTGGATCTGAGGTGTGATTGTGGAGATTTTCCCTTCTGAAATGATAGAAGAGTCCAATTTTGTAATTTCCAGGCTGTCATTTATGTTAGGCTGAGTTATTCCTCCTTTATTAGGTTTACTTTTTGTTTTTCTGTTCGGGATTTTAGGTGGAAACTTCATTTTTAATTTTTTGCTATTCTCCTGTAAAAGGGGTAAAATTTCACACTTGTTATATTCAATATTTAGACATTTCCATTAACCCTTTCTCAAATATTAGATAAAGACATATGTAAAATCCTAAGTAATCTATATTTTGCTCAATAGAAAAAATTTTATTAAAAGTTTTCAAAATCATTTATTTGTTTATTTTTTTAAAATGTTCTGTATTTTTGGATCTTTTTGAGACAGGGTCTCCCTGTAGTCCCAGCTGACCTGGAACTCACTATGGAGACCAGACTGGCCCAGACTGGCCTCAAACTCACAGAGATTCACCTGTCTCTGCCTCCTGAGTGCTGGGATTAAAGCACATACCACCACGCCTGGTTAGGTTCTTACTTTTTAACCCAGGCTGGTCTGGAACTTGTAGCAATATTCCTGCTTCATCTTCCTGAATCTTTGAAGTACAAGCATGAGGCACTCCATGAAAATCATTTCATTTTAAATGTAATGATTCTAAATATAAGTTGCATTAACTTATATTGACAGAGGTTGAGTCTGCATTAAGGGTTGCTCCTTTCCCAAAATATATCACATTATCATTTATTATTTAAAAACAAGATGTGGCCAGGGGTGGTGGCCTATGCCTCTAATCTCAACACTCAGGAGGCAGAGGCTGGTGGAGCTCTGTGAGATGGAAGTCAGCCTGGTCGACATAGCAAGTTACAGGCCAAATGGGTCTACAGGGAGACCAGAAGAGGGGTTGGAGAGATGGTTCAGTGGTTAAGAGCACTGGCTGCTCTTGCAGAGGACTTGGGTTCGATTGGTTCTTACTTTTTAACCCAGGCTGGTCTGGAACTTGTAGCAATATTCCTGCTTCATCTTCCTGAATCTTTGAAGTACAAGCATGAGGCACTCCATGAAAATCATTTCATTTTAAATGTAATGATTCTAAATATAAGTTGCATTAACTTATATTGACAGAGGTTGAGTCTGCATTAAGGGTTGCTCCTTTCCCAAAATATATCACATTATCATTTATTATTTAAAAACAAGATGTGGCCAGGGGTGGTGGCCTATGCCTCTAATCTCAACACTCAGGAGGCAGAGGCTGGTGGAGCTCTGTGAGATGGAAGTCAGCCTGGTCGACATAGCAAGTTACAGGCCAAATGGGTCTACAGGGAGACCAGAAGAGGGGTTGGAGAGATGGTTCAGTGGTTAAGAGCACTGGCTGCTCTTGCAGAGGACTTGGGTTCGATTCCCAGCACCCACATGGCGGCTGACAACTGTCTGTAACTCCAGTTTCAGGGGGATCTGACACCTTCTTCTGACCTCCAAAGGCATGGCATGACATTCGTGTACACATGCAGGCAATACACTTATACATATAAAAGAAAACAATTTTTTTTAAAAAGAAAAAAGGCCAAAAGGAAAAAAAAAAAGCAGTATTGTGTCAAAACACTACAATTAATGGCATAAAATCATTGATCTGGATGTGTCAAAGGTAAAGATCATCCATAACATCAGTCAACAGATCAATAACATTTATCAAGAACAAAGTACTCTGATTTTTTTTCAACTTTTCTAGCTAATAAGAAGTTAGTAACAAGACAGAATTTTCACTTACTTTTTCCTCATTGATAACATATGAACTATAGAACTCACTGACACTTCTCAGCTTGTATATGAACTCTTTTGCATGTGTACATACAGTTCTATGTAATTAAATGAATGCATTTGTGCAACCAACTATAACATTTACAATATATGACTATTCTTCTAGAACAAAGAAATCTTTTTATGCTGCATTTTAATAGCCTCAATCCTTTCTCCAGCTCTATTTCCTGATAAGCCATTGATGTTCTTACTATAATCTGGTCATTTCAAGAATGAGATTCACAAAATTATAGCTAGCTCTCCAAATAAAATACTATTTAGTCCAGCATGGTGCGGCATACCTATAATGTCAGTACTTCAGAAAATAAAGCAGGAGGATGCAATTTCCAGACCAGCCTGAGGTATATAATGAATCTTCTTAAACAACAAATAGACAATAAATGACTATTTTTGAGATGGAGTCATCAATGAACAGAAACTTGAGCATGGGAAGCATTAAGTAATGTGACATTCAGAAATCTTTACCTTGGTTGTAGAGCTGTCACTAGTAAAAAGGCGTGAACTTCTTCGAGGCAATGCGTTTGGGGGAGATGTAATTGTGGGGCTCAATACCTGAGGTGTTGTACTAAAAAGAATGTAACAGAAGTTTTTTAGTATTCAGTTTTGATTATTAACTATATTTCAATTCAGTCATCGAAATATATGTTCATCATGTAAGTATTCTAAAATTGTTGAGTTTAGTTAGGCCCTTTTGGGTCCCTGTATGAAAATTCAGCATTGAAAAAATATTCATGGGGCTAGAGAGATGGCAGTGGCTGCTCTTGCAGAGGATCTAAGTTTAGTTCCCAGCACCCATGTGGCAGCTAAGAACCATCTGTAACTCTAGTTCCAGGGAATCTGATGTCCTCTTCTGGCCTCTGAGGGCATTGTATTAACTGGTACAAAACACTCATACATATAAAATAAATTAAAAAAATTTTTTGATTGATTTATATGTATGAGTGCTATGTCTGCATGTGTGTAAGTGCACCCATGTCAAGCAGTATCTGAGGAGAAGAGAAGAGGGTGTCGGATCCCCTGGAACTGTAGTTATAGATGGTTGGTAGCAGCCATGTAGGTGCTAGGATTTGAACCCGGGTCTTCTGCAAAAATAGCCAGTGCTCTTAACCATTGAACCATCTCTCCAGCCCCAAGTATTCCATTCTCAGAAATCAAATAAACTGTTGGACATGGTGGTTCATGCTTGCAATCCCAATATTCATAAGGCTGAGACAAGAGGATTGGCCTGAATTCAAGGCCAGCCTTGAAGAAAGCAAATGAACTTAAAACCTGAAATTGTTTCACTAAGCATAGGTAAGGGGTTGAGGCTATATAGCTCAGATGGTAGAGTGCATTCCTAATATGTACAAAGCCCTGAGTTTGATCTCCAGCCCCATATAAACTAGGTATGTTGATGCATGGCCTGCTATTCCAACATTTGGAAGTTGGGAGAAAGGAAAGCAGATTAGTTTAAGGTCAGCTTAGGCTACATGAGATCCTATCTAAAAAAGAAGTGAAGAAGGGAAGTGGAAGTGGGGATTAGTTTATAGAGTAAATAAATCATTTATAATTTATGGGTAATTCTACTAGTTAGCTGTTTTTTCTTGATGCTGTGATAAAATACTCTGACAAAAGCAACTTAAGGAAAAGGGTTTATTTTAGCTCACAGTCCATCATTGCAGAGAAGTCACAGCACCAGAGGCTTCCATAGTTAATAAAGAGAGAGCACTGCATCCACTCTGCACCCATAGTTAAGAGAGAGCACTGAATGCATGTGCTCAGTTCTCCTTTTCATTCAATCTAGGGCACAGTCCATTAAATGATGTAGCCCATATTCAGGGTGGGTCTCCCCATTTCAATTAATCCAATTAAGAAAATCCATCGTAGGCATGACCATAGGCCAACCTAATCTAGACAGTCCCTCACTAAGACTCCTTTCCCAGGTGATTAGGAAACCCTGTTAAGTGGACAAGTAATATCAACCACATTAACCTAAGTCAAAGAAGTTTCTAAAAATAAAAGATACTGAACAATTTATAAGTAAAACATGCTCAGGGTTATCCTTAATCCTTCTAGAGAGAGTTGCAGTGCAAGATTTTACCTTAATACTTTCTAGACAGAATCCCAGTATAAAATTTTATGTAGAACACGTGGGGTGACCAGTTTTTAAAAGTATATATCACTTTTATTTGGTAGAAACAAGTAATTATCATTTAAACTAAAAAATAGGAAATGTATTTTGTTGATATGATTAAAGAAAAGGGTTTTGTCAAGATATGGGAAGGGATAGCATAGGGCAACTTACAGGGAGGATAAACCTGAGAATATCACTAATATTGATTTAGACAGAAAACTACAAAGGTAACATGATTATCTGTGGAGGAAGAAGTAGAAATAGTTAAGAGGGTTTTCAGGCTAGGAGGTTAGAAAAGCAACTCCTGTAATTTTTCCTTAAGGTTCTGTTAGCTACAAAGTCTTGCTTAATAGAAGGCAGAGATTCCCCTAAAGTTTGATGTACTAGAAAAATATGTATGTCTTTATTTCAGATGATGTGATCGGTATATGAATCCTTATAGCCTTATAGTTTGTATTTGGCCAACTAGGAGTTGGAGAATGAAAGGCTTATGTATATATGATTATGTATATTAACTTTTTAAAAAAAGACTGTGTAAACAGCATCATCATTTTACAATTTAAAAATATGTTCTGGAGCTGGGCGTGGTGGCGCACGCCCGTAGTCCCAGCACCTGGGAGGCAGAGGCAGGCGGATCTCTGTGAGTTCAAGGCCAGCCTGGTCTACATAGTGAGTTCCAGGCCAGATGGGGCTACAGGGAGACTCTGTCTCAAAAAGACCGGGAAAACCCCCAAAAAACTGTGAACAGGGCTGGAAAGTTGGCTCAGCAATTAAGAACACTGGACGTTCTTGCAGAGGACCGTGTTTTGATTCCCAGCACCCACATGGTGGCTAACAGCTGTCCCATAACTCCAGTTCCAGAGGTATCTGATGCCCAACATATGTACTTACATACATGCAGGCAATACACTCATACACATAAAATAAAAATGATAAATAAATAAAATATTAAAAAAAAAACTGTGAACATCAAAGCTTAGTTGGAATTCTTGGCTTTAAACACACTGATAAAGTTGTGTTCTGACTGTAGACACAAAAGATGTTTGGGACTCTTCTAAGACCATACCCTATGGGTCTCTTATCTGGTCCTGATTTGTATTCTTTATAATAAAACTGTACCTATAGCACCTTTCTGGCATCTGTGAGTTCTAGGAAATTATTGAACATGAGAGGGCAGTAGAAACCTTCAATTTTAAAATTTGTTTATTTGTGTGGGGTGGGGTGCTTGTGTGCCACTGTGCTGGTGTGGAAATCAGAGGACAACTTTGTAGAGTTGGTTCTCTCCAAACCTTTATGTGAGTTCCAGGGCTTTATCCAATATGCCTTTTCCCTAGCCCAACCTTTAAATCTATGCCCAGTTGGTCAAAAAATGCAGTTGGCCTGGGGAACTCTACACCTGTAATTGAGGATACTCAAGAAAATTCTTGTTGGGGATTGGGAACTTAACCTGGAGAGTCTATACTAAGTCTGAGTAACCAATATCAAAATTACATTACAGATTACAGTACTACAGTTAGGAAATGACCTGAAGCTGGAGGAAGAACTATTAGAAAAGAGCAAGTAGAATAACTCTTAGAGTTCAGTCCTGCCTGGGGATGACACACACCCTCAACAGGCAGAAGGAAAAAATCCTCTTCACAAACAGGCCACTTAGTACTTAAGTACTCTCAATAGGGCACAAAGTCAATCCAGCCTGAAGGCTTCTGTTGTTTCTAGTAACAAAACTTAAAAACCAAGACCTAAGAGTGAAGTGTTTCCAAGAAACTCAACTGCATCTCAGAACAGAACCAAAAATAAGATATTTAAAAATGATCAGCACTTAATAATGTAAAATTTACAGCAATTGGCAACCCATCAAAAAAAGTACTACTGGGGCTGGAGAGATGGCTCAGCAGTTAAAAACACTGATCATTCTTGCAGAAGACCTGGGTTCAAATCCCAGCACCCACATGGCAGTTAACAACTGTCCGTGACTCCAGTCTCAGGGGATTGGACAGCCTCTTCTGACCTCTGTGGGCATTGCATGACACAGGTGCACTTACCTACATGCAGGCAATACATGCATACACATAAAATAAAAATAACAACAACAACAAAGCACTACTACTTAACAATACAAATAAGCAGGAGACCATAACACAATGAGAAAAAAAATAAAAAACCCAACAACCCAATAATAGAAGTAGAAATGATACGATAATAGACCCAGTAGCCAAGAAAGTAAAAATACAGCTAGGTTCTAGAGCTAGGCATGGTGGTATAGGCTTATAATTCCTACAATGGGAGCTGGTAGCAGGAAGATGGAGAGTAAATAGGTGTTACACAGTGAGTATGTGTATCTGTAACAAACAGTCCCTATGTTCCAAAGGCAGACGAAAGCATGGGCAGATAGAGAGAGAACAAACTCAAACTTCTAGAAAGAAAAAAGAATCTCTGAGAGAAAAAGCAACAAAAAATACCAGAAAAGATTTATAGCCAATTTCATACCAGGGAAGAAAAGATTAAATTCGAAGACATGGTAATTAATAAACATTACCCAAAATGAAATAGGAAGAGACTGGAAACAAAAATTAACAGAATATTAGTAAATTGTGGGATAACTTCAAGCAACTTAATATATATGTACTTGGACTATTAGAAAGAAAATAAAAGAATTAAAAAAAAAAACATTTGAAGAGGCAATGGCCACAAATTTAATGAAACAATAAAGTCGTATATCCAAGGAATCTGAAGCTCATAGAAGAAAGTGATACAGCAGCACATCACGAATTGCTTAAAACTAGTTTGAAATAATCAGAGAGGAGAATGAAAATATAATAACTGCAAATGATAGATCCAGGCTTGGTGGTTCATACCTTCACCTTTAATCCCAGTGCTCAGGAGGAAGGGGAAGGTGAGCTCTATGAGTTTGAGGCCAGTCTGGGCTACACAGTCTGTCTCAAAATAAAAAGGAGGGGGAGGGGGTTGGAGAGATGGCTCAGTGATTAAGAACCTGTACTTCTTTCCTAGAGGACCTGAGTTCAATTCCCAGCAACCATGTTTGGCAGCTCACAGCAGCCTATAACTCCAGCACTGCACTTATGTGCACAAACCCACATACATATATATCATCAAATAAAAATAAGAGAGAGAGAATAACAACATACTTTTTGTCAGAAATAATAAAACACATCTTTCTCAAATAATAAATAAAAACATTGTCAGCCAGGTATGATGCATCTCAAGATCAAGGCCAGCCTGGTCTACATATCAAGTATCAGGCTAGCTGGGGCTACAGGGAGAACCTGTTTCAAAAAACCAAAAATCCTTATTTTTTAAATCAATTTTTATTTTATGTATATCAGTATTTTGCCTGCATGTATGCAAGTGTACTATATGTGTGTATTGTCCACAGAAGCGAGAAGAGAGCATCAGATGCCCTGGAACCAGAGTTACAGATAAGTTGTTAGCTGCCACCTGGATGCTGGGAGCTGAATCCTGCTCGCTTCAACAGCAGTCAGTGCTCTTAACAGAGCTATCCCTTCAGTCCTGAAAAATTTTATTTTTGTGGGTGTAGAATGTAGGCATATGTGTTTTGGGGCTGGGTTAGCCTATGTGCAAGCAAGCAGCAGCCAGAGGAAGACATAGGTATCCTCAACCACTTTCTATCCTTTTAATGCTATTTATTTTTTATCCTTTTTAAATTTTGATTTGTTGAGACACAGTCTCCCTATAGTCCTAGCTGGTCTGGAACTCAATATGTAGATCAGGCTGGCCTTGATCTCACAGAGATCTGCCTGCTTCTGCCTCCCAAGTGCCGGGACTAAAGGTGTGCACCATCATGCCTGGCTAATTTTTTTTTTGGTCTTTTTGAGACAGGGTCTCCCTGTAGCCCCAGCTGTCCTGGAACTCACTATGCAGACCAGGCTGGCCTTGCATTCACAGAGATCCGCCTGCCTCTGCCTCCCAAGTGCTGGGACTAAAGGAGTACACCACCACGCCAGGCCTAATTTTTAAATGTGTGTATTTATGTGCATATATGCACAGATGCTTATCTCTGTGGTGTGTGTGTTTGTGTGCCTGTGTGTGTGTGAGAGAGAATGAATCAGGGTCTCTCACTGAACACAAAGCTCACTCACTGGCTAAGATGACTGGTAGCAAACTCCTGAGATTCTCTTCTATCTACCTCCCAGTGTTTGAGTTATAGGCATGCATGTCCATTTTTATGTGAATGCTAGGGATTCAAACTCAGGTCTTAACGCTTGCACAGAAAGTACTCTTGCCTGTTAAGTAATCTCTCCCAGGCCCCACATTATTTCTTGAGACAAGATCTGAAGCTTGCCATTTCAGTTACACTGGCTGGTCAGCAAACTTCCAGGATCTGTATGTCTCTGTCCCCTTACACTGGGGTTTATAAGCACATGTGACCATGATGCATGTCCGTGATGGAGTTTTGAATTCAGATCCTCTTGCTTTCACAAGTGCTCTTATCTGCTGAGCTATCTCCCCAGCTGCCTCCCTAATCCAGTGAAATTAAAAAACAAACAAACAAACAAACAAACAAAAGGCACAATGGTATATGCCTGCCATCCCAGTTACTTGAAGGTTGAGGCAAGAGAATTGCTTGAGTCAAGGAGTTCAAGGTTAGCTTAGGAAACAGAAAGACTACCATCTCAAAAGAAAGATGAAATAAAACTGTTATCTGATATGCAAAGACCAAAAAATTCATTACCAGTAGAATATAGGAAACATTAAAAAGAAATCCTTTTAGGCTGGGTGTTGTAACTGCACACCTTTAACTGCACACCTTTAATCCCAGCACTCAGTAAAAAGAGGTAAGAAAATCATTAAGTTCAAAGTCTGCCTGGGGGTCACAGAGTAAAGTTTAAAGCCAGTCTTAGCAACTTAGTGAGACCCTGTCTAAAGAAGGAAAAAAAAAGAAAAAATGCTTTGAGATGAAGGAAAATGATACCAGATTGAAATCTGACTCTGTAGAAGGACTATCTCACTAGCAAGATCAGATGTGTGAGTAAATATAAAAGACTGCCTTTTCTTATTTTAAAAATCTCTATAAATGATTGTCTAAGGTTAAATAACTGCACTCTGGAGTTTATAATATATATGGAAACAAAATATTTTTATAATAATCCCTAAGAGCATGAAAATAAACTATTGTAAAGTTTCATATTATATAGAGAGCAATTTGTTGCTGGAAGGTACATTTTGGTAAGTTAAACTGTAAGCCCTAAAGATGCCTCCAAAAGGAGCAAACTGCTAACAAGGCAATGCTGAATTGCTAACATGGCAACACTGAACTGGGCTGCTCAGAACATACGTTAGTCCTAATGCCAGAACCTGTGATTGTGACTTTATTTGGAGAAATAAGGCACTTACAGATGTAATCAAGACTGAAAAAGACCCTATTCCAAAAAGAAAAGCAAAACTAAATGAAGCAAAAACAAATCCAAGCAGTACAGTAGATAAAATGGTGTTGATGATATAAATGGGGAAAAAAAAAAAATTGGGGCTGTAGAGATGGCTCAGTGGTTAAGAGCACTGGCTGTTCTTGCAGAGGACTAGGGTTCAGTTCCCAGCACCCACATGGCAGCTAACAACTGGCCCTAACTCCAGTTCCAGGGAATCTTATACCCTTTTTTGAGCTCTGTGGGCACTGTATGACATGGGTGCACTTACACACAGGCAAAACACTCATACACATAAAATAAAAATAAATAGAAAATAATTAAAACAACAAACAAAAGCCATTAATAATTGATGCTTATGGTCATTGGTACGTTTCTTTTTGTTTTTGGACTGGGCCTCACTATGGAGCCCTCGTTGGCCTGAAAATCACTATGGAGACCCCTTGAACACAAAGATCTGACTGCCTCTGCCTCTGCCTCCCAGCTATTTATTTAGTTCCACATCTCATTTATGTTTTCCATTCTCTAGGATCATCATATTCTCAACCTATAATTGGCTCTGTAGGAAGTCTGAGATTCATTCTCGTAACAAAACTCTCAGCAAGCATTGTCTGTACGTTGACATTACTGATTAGAATTTCTGCTCTCATACTATAGGACGAAGGATGTCTTTAAGATAGTTAAAACATGTACATTTGTGTCTGTTTTAAGGTTTCTATATCTGAAACTTAATTTTAGACCTGTGTACAGAAATAAATAATGGGGGAATGGAAGAATGAAATCCATCTGCACTTGTTCTAAAGAGGTCATATGCTTAAGAAGGAATCCATTTTGAATGAGTTATTTACATTATCTAGTTTGAAGAAACCTATGAAGCAATTATTGTATAAAGACTTATTTTATCTATTATTTTATTTGCACTATAAAACTCAACTAAAAATTATACATCTTTTCAGTAAGTTATATATACTTACTGAAGATTTTACATATTCAAAATTTTAAAGTTCCTCTAGAATTCTTTAGAATCAATACCTGACTAAACTGAAGAAATATAATGAATATAAGCAAGAAAGGCTAAACACCAACTGATGACACTGTCATAAATACCTTGTTTGTGGGCCAGAACTTTGTGTTTGTGCAACAAGAATTGGAGTGACCTCTCGACTATTTCCACTCTGTGAGAAAACAGACTTTGTTCCAGTTTGGCCCATTCTGGCAACAGACTGTAAAACACAAAAAGTCTAAGGTTTGTGATTATAGATTGCAGTACAAGTGATAAAAGACTATGATGCTCCTACCCACATTTTCCCAATGAAAATAGTTCATAATATATAATACCATCTTAAAATAGAGTACTGTGCTCATTACAGTGTATTAAAATTTTAAGACAACTACTAGTCTCAAGCGGTACAGATGAGCTTCCTATATATAAAGATAACAATACAGCAAGATTTTATACCCCTCCTTTGGCCCTTAATAAAGCAGCTCAACAGGGGTTCAAAAGAGATTAAAAAAAAAATCCCCTGATCACTTTCTAAATTGTAAAGATATTGCACTTTAGCATCACTCTAGTTCTAATTTTTAATTCACTGGTTTCTGCTTCCTTAGGAGTAAAAAAACAAAAAGCTTTGCCTCTTCTGTCTTCTCTACTTTTTTTGATTCACTTTCACCCCGATTATGTTATACTACACTATCTTTAACAAAAAACCCTTTTACTACAAATTTATAAAATGTATAGAAATATCTATAAAAATATTATCAGGTGGAGGGTTGGCAAGATGGCTCAGTGGGTAAACGAACATGCCTAGTAAGGCTGGTGACCCGAGTTTGTTCCATGGAACCCACATAAACGTGGAAGGAGAGAACCAATTCCACAAAGTTGCTATCTGACCTCCATATGCATGCCATGATGCAACCCCCCCATAATAAATTTTAAAAAATTTAAAAAATATATCAGAGGGGCTAGAGAGATGGCTCAGCAGTTAAGAGCAATTTCTGCCCTTGCAGAAGACCAGGGTTAATTTCCCAGCACCTACATGGTAGCTTATAACCATTTAGAACTTCAGTTTCAGGGGATCTGACACCCTATTCGGTCTCCATGGGCATTGCATGAACATGGTGCACTTGCATACATGTATGCAATACACTGATACACATAAAATAAAAATGTTATCAGAGAGATTTAGGATTGGGGATGCAGCTCAGTGGTACAATGCTTGCCTAGTATGTGTGAGGTCCCAAGTTGAGGGACTACAGCTTAGTGGTAGAGTGCTTGTTTAGTATTTGAGGGGCCCAAGGTCCAATCTTCTAGCATAGAAAAAAAAATTCTGGTTTACCTAAGCAAATTTTTTTTCATGTTAATTATTAGTGATATTAGAAACACATAGGCTAGGGCATGTGAGTGGTTGAGCACTTGCCCAGCATACACCCCCAGGACTGAGGAAAAAACAAAACAAAACCTACCCAAACCCAAACAACATTCATGCAATGGTGGAACAAGTTTAAAAAAAAAAGGCTGACAGAAACTGCCTTAATTTTATTTATGAGTATTTATTTAGCCATTGGTGAAATGAACTAGACTTATGATTTGTAAAGAGCCCACAGCTATGTGTCTAGTATCACTGGGAGACTATGACAATCGTGATATTCTTTCATATTTAGGTCAGTAACTCTAAGGAAAGAGTAAGTCTCTCTGGAATTACCTTTATAGATTGGAATTTTAAATATGCTTCTTTAAGCAATACCCAAACTGCATTTTACATGGAAAATACCTTTTTTGTAGGGGCTCCGGTGGATGGCACGTCAATTACAGGTGTATTAGTGTAGTTTTGTAAATAGGATCCATCTCCAGGACTTGGGGTTTCTAATGGCAAAATCCCAAAACTGAGAAGAGGTTGAAATCAAGGTGTCAAAAAGTCATCAAGGCATATATAAAGCAGCAGTATACTTAAATTAGAAGTCTAAAAGGAAGAGAATGGCAAATCAGTCTTGGGGGCAATGAGAATCTGAGGGGCAGATTAAATAAGCTGTGAATGTAGAGTATTCCACCCACCAGAACTAGGGGGGAGAAAAATCAGACAAGGATCTACTGATCTTAGGAGATTAGAAATAGAGTATCTTTTTAAAAGCTAAATTCTAAATGCTCAAATTACTTCCAATTCGTGGAATCCACAGGACTTGGACACAATTATGGAGACAATATCCCTAGAGATCATTGGATAATTACCTAAAAATTATCAACATAATTATATAGTGGTTTCTGGGGGTACCCTAACTTCCTGGTCATGCTATTTAAGTAGCTCCCACTCCTGAAGACCCCATTCATAGTCTATTCTAACACAAATTTTCTTTGATAGCTTTAAATATATATCCTCTGTGATGAATTCCTATATTTATTTATACATATACATATTTCCAATAATTTTGAAAAACTATTTCACATCAATAAGGGTCAATTCTTCCTCTATGTCTTCAAAAACAGCACTGACAATAACCAATACTGCTATAATTGTATCATAAGCATACCAATACTTCAAGGGGCTCATTACTAGCTCCAGATGTACAGCCATAAAGACAGTATCCTTTAATACATATGCTAAATGAGGCATATTTAAGAGCTTTAATACACATTATTATCAACATATTATTATTAATATATTAAAACATTATTATCATTATTATTTTAAGAAAGGGCTTCAGATATCATAGGCTGGTCTCAAACTTGTAACTCACAGCTGAGGATGACCTGGGACTTCAGATCATCTTACCTCTACCTCCCGAGTATTAGGACACAGGTATTCAAAACTTAACCCAGTTTATGTTGTGCTGAGGATCAAATTCAGGGATTTGTGCATGCTAGGCAAGTATTCTACTCACTGAACTACAACACCCAGTCCTTTAATATTTAATTAAAAAAAATTTATACACATACTGTGTTTCTTTTACTTTATTTACTGAAAATAGAATGTCATTTTCCATACTAATTTGGGAAGACGTTGCTTATATTAACTTATAATACTATGAATCATCATAGATGAATACATTTTAAAATACCTTGTTTGACTTACCTTGGGGTTAACGGACTAAGAGCAGTTGGTCCTCCTAATAAACTTCGACCGGTTTTTGGTTTATTCTGAACCTGTTTAGATAATATGGAAGTACCAGTTCCAAGAGGGACATTATCTGGTGAAATTACAGCTGAATCAATGTAAGACACTGAGGAATCTGTATTCAAGGAGTACTTTGAGTTGGACGATTCTAAGTTCAGTCTGTTTAATTCCTGAAACAGAAAATTTCTAACATGTCACTTATGACATATTATTTAGCTCAGATTATTTTTTGGGGGTTTCAGAATATTTTGAACATTAGAAGTAATTACACTTACAATTGTGTCCTGGGGTGTTTCTGTAAGAACTGTCTCAGGCTGTCTATGAGATAAACTATGATTAGATACTAGTGTTGTACAAGAGTTGGGCAGACAGTTGCTAAAATTCTGTATAGATGTTAATTTAAATGTTTGGTCAGGATCTGGCTTTTCACCTGTGAAGACCGAAAAACAAAAGAAAACAAAATTTGCCTCTGAGGGATAATTTTTTTCAAGTATGCAAAGTTAAGTGAAAATATGGCATTTAGAATTTTGAAAATTCTCTTGTCCATTTTTGCTAATCAAAATTACTTCCCCAAAGCCCATTCATTAATTATTGTGGAAGTTAACCATTAAAGATGAATTTAGAAAATAAACTAAATCACAAGTTTTAATTATAAATCAGAGTCAGAGAGATGGCTCAGTGGGTAAAGGGTTAACCTGCCGCCAAGCCTGACAACCTGAGTTTGATCCCTAGGGTATACATGTGGGAAGGAGAAAACTGACTCTCAAAAATTGTTCTCTGATATGCATACACATGCCATGGCATGCGTGCACAAACACACAAAATAACTAATTTGTATATCTTAAATCACGGGAAAAATTAAATTTCTTTTTGTTTGTTTTGAGACAGGGTCTCAAATAGCCCAGTCCGCTCTCAAACTCAGCCTAAAATTACTTTGAATTTTCAATCCTCTATCCCTACCGCATGGGTATGGGGATTATAGGCTTGTTTCATCACACTCAGCTCAGGAAAATGCAGATTTCTGTTTGTTTAAAAGCAAAAAAAGAAAGGAACTAGATCTACATTTCAATATAGCAGGTGAGTCTGGTAGGTTGAAACTCAGCAGATATGGTAAAGACTGAATGCCCCATTTTTTCCTAAAATAACTTTTATTTATTTATTGTGTGTGTATGTATGTGTATGCGGGTGCATATGGCAGTCTGAGAGCAACTTGTGGTAGCTGGCTCTCTCCTTTTACCATGTGGGCCCTGGGGAGCAAACATCGGTTGTCAGACTTGACAGCAAGTGTGTATACCTGCTGAGCCATTTCATTGGTTTTTAAGAAAAAAAATTTTTTTAAACATTTTTTCATTTATTTATTGTGTGTGGATGTGTGTGGACAAGCATGTGCCATGGCACATGTAGTGGTCAGAGGTCAACTTATAGGAGTCTGTTCTCTCCTTCTATCATGTGGGTTCTAAGGATTGAACTAGGGTCATTAGGCTTGGTGGCAAGCATAGTGGATATACTCACTGAGCCATTTAGCCAGCTGGGTATGTTTAAAAACATCCTTTATGCTTCTTGAGCATAAATAATGAGACATACCCTATATTGTCTACGTCTTATTCATCAAGGACTTGAGTCCAATTCTCAGGACCCACATGGTGGAAGGAAAAAACCAACTCTGAAAAGTTATCCTCTGACCTCCACACATGCATGCTGATTTTCATTCTCTCTGTCTCTGTCATCTATCTATCTTGTTAAATATGTTTAATTATCCAGAAAGAAAAAAAAAGTGGGAGTGAGGCACACATAATCCCATTATTCAAAGGCTAAGGCTAGTCTGGCCTACAAAGTGAGTTCTAAGCCAGCTGGTGCTACTAGGGAGACCCTGTCTCAAAACAACAAAACCAAACGAAAAAGTAAACAAAGTGATTTGGGCTAGTGTTGTATAGATAATGTCATTTATTCTGGAGGACACAGATATTTAAGGTAGGCTGGATAAACAGGAAACTACTGAATTTAATCTTTTAAAAAATATTTATTATTATTATTTTTTGGCCTATTATCTTTATTTTATGTGTATGAGTATATTGCCTGCATGTATGTGAGAGCACCCGTGTCATGCAATGCTGCGGAGGTCAGAAGAGGGCTTTGGATTCCCCTGGAACTGGAGTTAAGGACAGTTTGTAACCACCATGTGGGTGCTGGGAACCGAACCCGGGTCCTCTGCAAGAGCAATCAGTGCTCTTAACCGCTGAGCCATCTCTCCAGCCCCGTGAATTTAATCTTTGGGTCATGAGCAGTTACCTTATTTCTTACTCACATAATTCTAATTTCTTTCTTTTGGGGGAGGGGTGTTTTTTGAGACAGGGTCTCATATAAGACAGGCTGGCCTTACCATGTAACTGAAGCAGGCCTTAAGCTCAGGATCCTGTCTCTGTCTCCATCTCTGTAGTACTGGGATGTAGGTACATTCCTCCACACCTACCTCTAACTTACTTCTTATACTCAATTTAACAGCCTTTAGCTTGCAAAATATTTTTCTTTTAGCTAACTGAGTCTCCAAAAAATGGTAGAAAAAAATATTTTTAAGAAACAAGAAAGAAGGAGGAATCCTCACCTCCACAAGCTTACCTATTTCACATAATGATTCAAAGGGAGACCAGAGGAAAGGATTTAAACTAAGGCTCTTTTGGTAACACTCTGATCCTTTGGCAAGCCGATCTGTCTTGCTGTAGAGAGAAGTAATAGATTAAACAAGCTATAAACACCAAAGCATTTCTTACAATTTGTGGTTTTAGAAAATTAGGTAAATAGTATATAAATTCTCAGAGCATTCTTTTGATGCTTCCCAAAATTGTCAATTTCTCTTTGAGATAATGTCTCATTATATAGGCCTGACTAGTCTCAAGCTCTCAATCTTCCTGTCTTAGACTTTTTATTTTTTTGAGATAGGCTCTCATTATGTAGACCTGGTTGACCTCAATCTTACAGAGATCTGCCTGCCTCTGCCTCTGAGTGCCAGGATTTAAAGGTGTGTACCACCACACCCAGCTCTGTCCTTAGATTCTTAAGTGCTGAGGTTACAAGTGTATACCACCATGCTCACCTCTCTACTGCCTTCTTGGATATTTAATTTCTTGGCAGATAACAGTTACTGACAGATCTAGAAAACATCCAAATGCTTCATATTCTGTTTACTAATTCTCCAGTATATTTAAATGATTATATTTTTTAACAAAGTAGAAGCGATGGTAGCTTTTAATGAAGAGGGAGTCAGTATAATCTGAGACTTGTAAAGACTTCTTTGGGGGAGCTTACATCATCTGCCCTACTTTTAAATTTTCAACTAAGTAGATAATAGGATAAATAATGTGATAAAAATAAGAAATTTGGGCTGGGGGTAGGGAAGGAGTGTATTTATGGTAGAACAGTTGCTTAGCATGTGCAAAGCCCCAGGTTTGATACCCAGCATTGAGTGTCGGGAGCCATGCTTGACATGAGCATAGGAAAAAACAAGAGTGCCACTTTAAGAGCTTCTGAGCTCTCTGCTTCAGTGGTTTGAGCTGACAGGCTGTGCCTCCATGATAAATCAGGTCTTCTAGAAAGTTAGTTTCGGTTCAGTCTTTGGGCACTGGAGTTGGTGAGGTAATGCAGCAATGTGCTGCGTCTGTAGTTACTTTCTGTTAGTTATATATCCTTGGTGATTCCTTGGTTACCCCAAATCTGATTCCTATATAAGATCCGTGTTCCTCACAACAATGAGCCATTCTGTGATTGCTCACCTGACTGCTAAGAATTAAACTTTATATAATAAAATCAAGACCTTTGTCTTGACTCTTCTTTTGTTAAAGACCCAAGCCTGGTGGGCTTGGGGGGCATTCAACAATTGAGCAATAAAAGATGAAGTGCTACCTGTATAGACAATAAACGTGGATAAAGGGAGGAGCAGGAGTGGGAGGCAGGAAATCCATAGCTAGGACCATTCAAAGGATATTTCCTTTTTTTTAAAAAAATATTTTTTATGTGTATGAGTATATTGCTTGTGTGTAGGTAGGTGCACCCATGTAGTGCAACGTTCGAGATCAGAAGAGGGCATCAGATCCCCTGGAACTAGAGATACAGACAGTTGCCAGCCATTATGTGGGTGTTGGGAACTGAACCTGGGTCCTCTGCAACAGCAGCCAATGCTCTTAACCCAAGTCATCTCTCCAGCCTTCAAATGAGATTTCCTAACAGAAAAATAGTTGTCCGAAGACTGACTTAATCATCTACCAGGAATATAGAAGTAACTTAAATATGAAACAAGGAAAAGGCATAAAGGCCATTTTCTGAAGGTGAGCAAGTTAAAAATAGAAAAGTAGAGGGGCTGGAGAGATGGCTCAGTGGTTAAGAGCACTGACTGCTCTTGTAGAGGACCCGGGTTTGATTCCCAGAACCCACATGGTGGCTATGAACCATCCTTAACCCCAGTTCCAGGGGAATCTGAAGCTCTCTTCTGACCTCCGTGGCATTGCATGACATGGGTGCACTCACACGTAGGCAATATACTCATATACATAAAATAAAAATAATAAAATATTTAAAAAAAATAGAAAAATAGCAAATCAGGACATGGCTTGGTGGATAAGAACACTTGCTGAACAAGCACGAAGACTTGAGTTCAAATCCTCAGCACCACCTCATCTCAGTGTTAAGAGCATCTGCTTTGCATGCATGAGGCCCTGGATTCAATTCCCAGAACTGCCAAATCCTCAGCAACCATATAAAAAAGGTGGGTGTGAACCATGTGTGAGTCTGCAATCCCAGCACTGTGGGAGGTAGAGACAGAAGGATGGATAGGATCTGGTAACTGACAGGCTAGCTTCTGGTTCAGTGAAAGACCCTGAGGCAGAGAGCGAGAGAGGGGGGCACCCAATGTCCTCCTCTGGCCTTGGTGCGTGTATGTGTACATACACTATACATACACGCTAAATAATTTTCTTTTGAAAGAAAGGAAGTAAAAAAGGAAAAATACAGTGAAAACTCATTATCTGAGGGCTAGTCTGGATGGTGGCAGAAATTTTTAACCTCAGCACTTGGGAGGTGAGTAGGTAGAGCTCTATGAGTTCCAGGTCAGCCGGGTCTATCCACATAGTAAGTATCAGACTGGCCAGGGTTACCCAGTAAGACCCTGTCTTTAAAAATACAACTTGTCCTAAGCTTCAAGTAGCGCTATTATCATCCCTTGTAATTCCAAAGTAAGGACATTTTTTCTGTTTTCTGTTTTCTGTCCCTATCTTTATAAAATCTCCTTTTTGGGTGCCAAACTTAACCTTTCCTCTGCTGCTGGGTAGTTTGATTTAGGTTTATCCCTCTCTAAGCTTCCTATGTTCAAAACAGAATTCATCTTTTCTCTCCAAATCTGTTCTCTCTCTTTCTTATTCCACGTATGTTAAGGGTACCATCATCATTGTACGTTCAGATTCAAAATCCTACTTACAGATGCCACTAACTTGGTTATTTTCCTTAAACTCCATAGAAAGGCTGAATTCATGCACTTTTGTTTTATCTCTGGCTTAATGTTCTCTGGATTCATTTTCACTGTTATGACTGCTAGTACTTCTCACATGAACTATCAATAGGTCCTTAATTAAAGCCCCAGGTTTCTCATTATCTCCGCAATTCATGCAATATAGTCCCTTTTTTATAGTACCAACCATACTCTGCCTGTCTGATCATTCTTGAGATTTATTATTTTCTAAGTGTAAGGAATAAGATCTTTTTCATTTTTTAAAAATATATTTTAAAATTTTTTATTTAGTATTTTTATTTTATGTGTATGTGTGTATTGCTTGCATGTAGATAAGTGCACCCCTGTTGTGCAATGCCTACGGAGGACAGAAGAGGCTGTCAGATCCCCTGGGACTGGAGTTAAAGACAGTTGTTAGCTGCCATGTGGATGCTGGGATTTGAACTTTTTTTTTTTCTGCAAGAACAACCAGTGTTCTTAACCACTGAGCCATCTCTCCAGTCCCAATCTTTTTCATTTTTATACTATCCTTTTCCTGATTTCAATAAATCCTGACCTTTTTGCTTGCACAAGGCAACACAAATATTTTTATTATTTTATTAATATTTTTAAAAGTTGCCCTATACAGAGTTTAGGAATTATTTAAATGACCAGGAAAATAGTGAGCACACACAATTTAATTAAAGATAAAAAAATTTTTAAAATTTATTTTGTATTTTATGTGTTTGAGTGTTTTGCCTACATTTGTGCACTATGTGCATGCAATACAGGCAGAGGCCAGAAAAGGGTGTTGGATCCCCTGGAACTGGAGTTATGGACAGCTGTTAGTCACTATAAGGGTGCTGGAACCAAACCTGGGTCCTCTCCAAGAGCAGTCAGTGCTCTTAACCACTGAGACATCCCTCTAGCCCCTAAAAAAGCTACTTCCCTAATACTACTTAAATATTTTTTTACATTAGAAAAAGGAAAATTTCCTCAACTTTTGATACCTGACAAGGTTAATTTTAAAAATAAGCCATGATCTGATTAATATACCACAAAATAGAAAAAAAATACAATTAGCATTTAAGAAATTAAATACAGACCAGGTGTGGTGGTGCGTGCCTTTAATCCCAGTACTCGGGAGGCAGAGCAGGTGTATGTCTACGATATCAAGGCCAGCCTGGTGTACATAGCAAGTTCCAGGCTAGCCAGGACTACTATGTAGTGAGATCCTGTCTCAAAAAAGAAAGAAATTAAATACACAAATACATTCAGAAGTATAAATGTATTAATAAATAACCTAAGAGCTAACTGGGGAAGAAGCCAAGTGTGGAATTATAACAATATATCCTGGAAAATAAAAGCTCTAATTAATCATTAGAGGGATAAAAAGAACGAAGATTTATGACAACTTCCTGATTTACTCTGTGTTCAGATGGACCTTTAATAAATGCATGGCTATATACAAAACCCAGCAAGGAGTTTCCCAAAGAATTAGGGTAAAAGAATTATTTACAATGTTGGAAGGAATGAACCTAAAACGTTAGTATTTGTTATGTCCTACCATTTGTTTCATGTGCTAATTAATAAGAGACCAAGAAAATGAATATACATGAGACAGAGAAGAAAAATTAACATGCCATAACATGTAGGTATCTAGATTACCAGGTATAGATCTGTCCTAAGATAGGTATATGATGGCTAAAATGAAAAGCCAGAGGCTTTTTATTGTTCTTGTCCTTTTTGAGACAAGGTTTCCCTGTAGCCATAACTGACCTGGAACTCACTATGTAGAACAGATCTGCCTGCCTCTGCCTCTGCCCCTGAGTGCATGTGCCACCACACCTGGTGAAAAGCCAGTTTTAAAGGGAGGTTGTTTCACTTCGAATACTTAACTATCTTTTCTCAGGACTAGCTTCATCTGTACCTTCAAAAACTTTTAAAGTAGTATTTAAAAATAATAGTAAAAGGTATATGGCATTCTTTGTGTTTTTAATATTTTCCTTTTAAAAACTTTATTTTGGAAGAATTATGAATGTGTTCATGGTAAGAAGTGATATTCTTAGGCTGGGTGTGGTGGTGTATGCCTTTAATGCCAGCACTTGGGAGGCAGATGCAGGTGGATCTTTGTGAGTTCAAGGACAGCCTGGTCTACATAGCAAGTTTCAGGCCAGTTTGCGGCTACAGGGAGACTGTCTCAAAAAGACAGAAAAAAAAAAAAAAAGTGATATTTTTTGTTTATAATTATTTTGCATTTCTTTAAGATTTTAATTTTATTTTTAATTACATGTATATGCATGTGTCTGAGTGAGGGTATGTGAGCCCCTGGTGTGGGTGCAGGGAACTGAACAGGGGGTCCTCTGCAAGAGCAGTATGCCCTTTTAACTGCTGGGCTATCTCTCCAGACCCTGCATTTTCCTTTGCAGGGTGTTTTTTTGTTCGTTTTTTAAAGCTTAGATTACTAGTTTGAGACTGTTTATTTATTTATTTATTTTTTCTGTCTTTTTGAAGCAGGGTCTCCCTGTAGCCCCAGCTGTCCTGGAACTCACTATGTAGACCAGGCTGGCCTTGAATTCACAGAGATCCGCCTGCCTCTGCCTCCCAAGTGCTGGGACGACAGGCGTGCGCCACCACACCCTGTGGAGACTGTTCATTTTTAAGTACACAGGGATACAAAATTTCTTTTAACACGACTTTAACTGTATCACCCAATTTTCAATATGTTGTACATTATCTTTTGTTTTGTTTCTTTGAAATACCATTTCATACTGTTGCCCAGGTCACCTTGATTTCACTATTTTGCCCAGGCTGACCTTGAACTTGAGCTCTTCCTCCTGTTTCCCAAGTACTAAGATTACAGATGTATCCTTCCATGCCTGGCATATTTTTTTCACATTCAATGCATCTTTAAAATTTTCCTGTGAGACTTCTTTGGCCCAAAAATTACTCAAAGGGATACTGTTTAATTTCCAAGTGTTTAAGAGATTTTTCTACGTACTTACTGGGATATTTATCATCTAAACCAACTATTTTAACCAGTGATATCATAATGCTTCATTTTAGTTAACATTTTAAAAGTGCAGTATATTGTGCTTTTTGAAAAAAAATTAAAAAATATTTTATTTATTATTTTTATTTTATGTGTATGACTGTGTTGACTGCATGTAGGTAAGTGCACCTGTGTCATGAAATGTCCACGGAGGACAGAAGAGGCCATCGGATCCCTTGTAACTGGAGTTACAGACAGTTGTTAGTTGCCATGTGGGTACTGGTATTTGAACTTGGGTCTTCTGCAAGAACAACCAGTGTTCTTAACCGCTGAGCCATCTCTCTAGCCCTGTATATTGTGCTTTTTAAGAATATTTCTCATGGGGCTAGCCCTGATCTATGTGAATTCAAGGCCAGCCTGGGATACATGGTAAGACAATGTCTCAAAAACCAACTAAACCAAACAAAAAAACCAAAAAAATTACAACAAAAAACTTGTAAAATCACTATTATTTCAAATACCATTATAGGAGATTTCTTTTACACATTTCAAAATCATGATGACTACTCTTACTTTGTATTATTGAAACCTGACTTGAAGCCTCTTTCTAAGGAGTAACTGATATTTAAAATCAAGGTAAACAAATTTCACTCTTCTGCTAGGCGTGGTGGTGGAGCATGCCTTTAATCCCAGCACTTGGGAGGCAGAGGCAGATGGATCTTTGTAAATTCAAGGCCAGCATGGTTAACATAGTGAGTTACAGGCCAGCTGGGGCTGCAGAAGAGACCCTGTCTCAAAAAGACAAAAAAAATATACAATTAAAAAAGCCAAACCAATTTCACTCTTCTTCCTCAGTAAATCACTGAGACACTGTCTTCATCCAAGGTAAGAACACCTAACATTCTGTGTACTTGACAGAGCTGCTGCAGCTATTATCACTAAGAGTAAGTGAAGAGTCAAAAATGAGACCAACTGGTTTAATGAGGTCAGGAATGAGAAAGGTTTGGATCTACTCAGTCAAGTTGTATTTGTTGATATACATCAGGACAGGGCCTTGTAAACTACAAAGCATTATTACATAGGAAACTTTTCTGGTAGTTTGAGTCATTCTTACTTACCAATATACATGTCCCAACAATGAAAGAGTAAAGCAAGCTGAATCACCAAACTCAGTAACGATATCATCATGGGTTTTTTGCTTATTAAATACTCCACCAGATAAGATCTGTTCCCCTTCAGCAAGCCTTTAAAATATAAATTGATGGATATTCTAAAGTCAATCCAAAAGCACAGCATGAAGATATCCTTATTATCATTGTATATCAACTATGGAGACAATAAAGTACAATCTTTCTGGTTATTTTTAGAATAGAGGTAATCACATACTTAGAATCACTGGGCAGCCAGAAATTTATGACCTTAAAATTGTAGTCTTTCCTTTAAAAATAGAACACATTAAAATTTAGTTTTGATATGTATAACTCTAGTCTGAGCAGCATATTTATTACTCATGACAAAAGAAACAGAAGACCATCTTATTTGGGGGGGAATATGAATGGTTCTTAAAAATTATTTTATTTATATGTATGTGTGTGTGTGTATGTGTGTGTCTGTGCATATGTTACATGTACGCAGTAACAAGTCCGTGGAGGCTAGAAGAGAGGGTTGAATTCCTTAGAGCTAAAGTCACAGGCAGTTGTGAGCTACTGGAGATGGGTGTGGATCTCTGTGAGTTCAAGGCCAGCCTGGTCTACATAGTGAGTTCCAGGCCAGCTGGGGCTATAGGGAGACCCTGCCTCAAAAATATCACCCCCTCCCCCCAAGATTGGAAGATTTAAAAATAATCTAGTAACAAATCTTACAGCTATTTTAGTTAGCCTTAATGACAGTTGTTAGACAAATATAGTCTATAAGCATATGAGAAGTTTGAAACTTATGTGTAACCTCCAAATACAAATCTACAAATAAAACATATATAGGCTTTTCTATGTATTTGTTTAGTCACTTTTACCATATTTCATCTCCTATAGCACAGAAAATAACAGGCTAACTAAGTATAGTTCCAGCTAACACCAGATTTGGAATATGGACAGCTGTCTTGGTTTAACTGTAACAAACAAAAGAAATGTTCTTTTGACCTGTCCCTTACTTAAAAATGGTAGGGGTGGGCAAGAAACTACAAAGTTAACTTAGATACATTATCCTTCAGTGAACTGTCATGTTTTCAGACTTATTTAGATTGGTCTAACAATGAAAGCCAAAGGAAATGAGATTTATGATCATTTTGGAAGCTTGTAATTACAACTTAAGTCTCTCTGAAATTCTGCTATTTGGGGGTTGAAGATGTAGCTCAATAGCCAAAATACTTGCATAGCATGGATGAAGCTCTGGGTTCAGATCCCCAGCACCAAAAACAGAATTAGTATTTGTCATAAGGGAATTTCTCAATGACCAAAATAATGACACAAGCAACAATGCAAACATTTCTCAAACTGCTATTCAAATAAGAGAGGAAAGGAGTTCATAATTTTATTCAAATGGAAGTAGAACACTTACTTGCTGAGATCAACACAACATTTTGCAAGCAGGTATTTACACTGTGGTGTGGTACAACTGTGTCCTTTCAAGAGCCGATACGCTTTATATGCCTTTCCTGAGCGGTAATAACAGGTTGCCAGTAAAAACAAGGCTTCTTCTGAATGTACTAAAAGTAAAATTAAGAAAAGTTAAACTGTTCAGCATTTTGGATGGTATTGTTTGTCTGGCAATAAACATATTATTTCATTTCATTTTTCAATTCTGAGGCAATTACTATTGCCTTTATTTATTTTTGGGTTGTTTGTTTGCAACAAGATTTCCCTGCAGTCCTAGCTGTCCTGGAACTCACTAAGTAGACCTGCTGAAATTAAAGGCATGTACCACCACACCCAGCTATCATTACTTTTATAAATGAAAAAATGAGAAATGCTTAGGCATTAAATAACTTGGCTAAGACTGCACAAATTTATATTTAAAGTTGCAGTATTAGAATTTATATCATAGCTATCAACTCTAAATCTATGCTCTTAGCCAAAGAATATGGACCATGTTCTAATAAAAATGAATACCTAGACGAAAATTTCTAAAGATTGAGAAATGATTAATTAAATAACAGCCTACGAACCCACAGCAACTCTATAGTTACTAATTTAATACTGTGGGAACCACACAGTTAAAAGGTAAGAGTTTTTTGAGTTAGCATCAATTATAAAGAAAAACAAGGCCGGTCAAGATGGCTCAGTGTGTAGAGGTACTTCTTGTCAGACTTGAAGACCTGAGTTAGATCCCTGGGACCCACATGGTAAAAGGAGAAAACCTATTCCTGCAAGTTGTCCTCTGACCTCCATACACACATCATGACATGTACCACTACCCCATATTAAAAAATAAAAAGAATGGGTGTTGGGGATTTAGCTCAGTGGTAGAGCGCTCGCTTAGCAAGCGCAAGGCCCTGGGTTCGGTCCTCAGCTCCGAAAAAAATAAAAATAAAAATAAAAAGAATGTAAAAAATACTTCTAAAGAGAAGTTGAACAGGGGCTGCAGAGATGGCTTAGTGGTTAAGAGCACTTGCTGCTCTTGCAGAGGACCTAGGTTCGGTTCCCAGAATCAACATGGAAAAGTCACAACAATCTGTAACTCCAGTTACAGGGGATCTGACACCATCTTCTGGTCTCTTCAGGCACCAGGTATGGACACAGTGCATATTCATACATGTAGGCAAAAACTCATACATATAAAAATTAAAAAAAAAAAATCTTAGAAAAAAAAAACAAAACCAAGATAGGTATGGTGGCTCACTGAAGCAGGAGGACTGATGAAAGAGTTCAGGCCAGCTTGGCCTATGGAGTGAGACCTTGTCTCAAAACAGAACAGCTGGAAGAGCTCAGTCAATAAAGGCAGGCACCAGGATCTGAGTTCAATCCTCAGAACCCCCAAAAGGCTGGCTCATAGTCTGAAGCACTAGGATGGTAGAGACGAGAGGGCCCCTGGGCATTACTGGCTAAAGAGCCTAGCCTACTTGGTGAGTTCCAGGTCAATAGCATCCATCCATACATGAACATGTACACATATGAACATATGCAAACAAAAAGACAGAAAAAAAGAACAAGAAAGGAAACAATGAGTGATAATAAAAAAACTTGTTAGTCATAAACATGATGGAGTTCCATATACTTTATTCATTTATGGTCCTATACAAATGAATAGATTACAAACCTTCAGCATACAGTCGTTCTGCAAGGAAAACTGCATCTCGGTAAGCATAGTGGTTTAGTGCTTGCCATATAGCAGCCTGCAAGTAGAGGGGGAAAAAAAGCACATAAGTATACACAGTTTCAAAGTAACTCCTAGTACAGAGCCTCGAACAAGATACCCAAGCTAATTTCTCTAATTCACTTCAGGTTACCAGGCTTGGTCCCAAGTGCTGTAACTGCCTAGCCATTGAACTAGACCTGGTTATTATTTTTTAAGATTTTTTTTTTTTGTATTTTGGGGCTGGAGAGATGCCTCAGTGATTGAAAAGTACTGGCTGCTCTTACAGAGGACCCAGGTTTGGTTCCCAGTACCGACATGGAAGCTAACAACCATCTGTAACTCTAGTTCCAGAGGATCTGACACCCTCTTCTGGCCTCCATGGGCACTGTGTGCATGGGTGCACTTATATCCATGTATGCTCATAAACATAAAATAAAAAAAAATAGAGCTGATGTGGTGGCACATGCCTTTAATCCCAGAACTCAGAGGGCAGAGGCAGGTGGATCTCTGTGAAACTGAGGCCAACCTGGTCTACATTGTGAGTTCCATGTCAACTAAGGCTACAGGGAGACCTTGACCCAAGTTCCCTCCCTTAACCCCCTCCCACCCGCCAAAAATATTGATTGGTATTTTACTTGTGTGTGTCTGTGTGAGCACACGCTATGTGTGTTTGGGTGCCTAGAGAGGTCAGAGAGGGTGTTGGATCCACTAGAGCTGCAGTTACAGGCTGCCTGATATGGGTCCCAGGAACTGAACTTGGGTCCTCTGGATGAGCAGCAATCACTCTTAATGGTGAAGCCATCTTTCCAGCCCAGTATCCCCAATTTACAACTCCAATGGCCACAGAACAAACTCCATAGGGACCAGACAGTTTCTTACTATATAGTTCCTAATATACCTGCATCTACTCCCTCAGCCCTTTCATAGACTTTCAAGCTTCTGTCCCTCTCTGTACATTTTCTTCCTTCACCAGGGAATGTTGGCTCCCTTACTAATCTCCCTGAATAACTGGTTCATCCCTAAAAGCCTAGCTTAATAACATATAATCCATAAAAAATTTCCTTCCTTCCTTCCTTCCTTCCTTCCTTCCTTCCTTCCTTCCTTCCTTCCTTCCTTCCTTCCTCCTTCTCTCCCTCCCTTCCTCC